CACCCACCCTTCTCACACCCCCACCCCCTCCTCACACCCCCACTCCTCAACACCCCGACCCCTCTCTCACACCCCCACCCCCTATGCTCTAAATCTTACAGGATTAATTAAGTAGTCGGGTCTAATAAAAAATCTATATAATGAGAAATTGTTTCAGTTGCTATATGGAAAATCCAAGTTGACATGGCCTACGTCTACATAAAAGATATCAGGCCATGCGGTGCGGACTTTACACCATTCACTTTCGTGTGTTCCTAAATAAATGTGAGAACATGTACCAATGTTGGATTTGGTGGATTGGGGGTACGGGTGGGGTGGGGGTGACAAGCAAAACCAAACAATATCAGGTTGTTTACTAACCCGTGCCCTACATATTATGCTAATAGGGACCTGCGTCCTTGTCTATTGGAAAGCTAACTTGCATAAAAAGTTGAAATCATTTTATTTACCGTCTTTTCCGACTAATCGTCTTATGTAATATGCCCAGGTAGGCCTAGCACTGACTGTAGCTGCATTCTTCACGAAAGCCTCTTCTATCAACTCATATGTGCCCAGCATTATCATGTGTTGTTCACCAAGTTTGATGTGCATGATATCTCCGTATGTATCATACCATGGAAGAAGATCTGTCGGTTGTCGTCTTTTACCGCTGATCATCAGCTGAGGGAGACATCCCACCACGGGGAAACAGACAGGTCCGGGCGGCCAGTTCACCCGAGGATTCCTCGACGACAGCATCCACAGACCTAACAACAACATTGCCACGAATATCATAATTGTCGGCCAACCAAGGGTTGCGAAAAACTCAGAGAAACTCTGTATGTCATTGGCCATTTTGGATTCCACAATAACAGCAGCTTCTCCAGTATCTTGAAAGAGCTAGAATTACATAAGCAGTATACCGCTGTAAGGTCTTGTACGAGTATCCCATACGAAACAAGATCTATATTCCTGACATCTTTATGTGCTATGTTTATGTGTGTACGTGCAGGTATTACTGCAGAGGCGTATTATGCCACCATGTTTCTAACTTCACTGACATGAAGAGATGGCGAGATTCCACAAGAAAGTTCAAGGAATGATTTTTCAAAAAGAGACGCAAAAGTTATCCGTCTACTTCAACCCAAGTTTTAACAAAATACTACTTGCTCAATCTAACTACGATCTTGAGAGCATGCATATGTACTTACATATCTTATATAAGAGACTAGCTAAGAAATAACAATGCCATACATAAAATCGTGATGAATATCGTGTATGCATTCAGATGTCTTCATGCAGTTCTCATAAATATCCCGGATGAGTAGAAGCCCATTCTGAGGACAAGATGTTCAAACTCGAAAACCATTTGATAGGATCTTGATTTCTTTAAACAGAGGACAACTTGAATCTCATTCACAGCACAAACAACACCTTTCATAACCTTTCATTTATTTACATCTTTAAACATTTTTTTTGACGAAAGGTCTTCTTTCAACTTCCATTATGTAAAATGTCCTTTTTTTCTAACTTTCACGCCTCGAAAACACCGTCAATTACATATTCTTTGACTTTTACTTTTCAAGAATTAAGCTATAGCTTTTCATATTGTGGAAGACCACTTCATATTCCAGTTTTCTGGAAAGATCTGCGTTCACATTTTGTTCATCTTTTCATTTTCACTAAGTTAACAACTCATTTTATCATATCATATAGATAGGGCAATATCATGTATTTGTTTTTTTATATAACATATCTGAATTCCATATCTAACAGTCAGGGCAAGATATAAAAAAGCGAATACTTTGCAACTTGTTTGAACAAAGAATTTATTTACACTTTGCCAAAGATATTACGAGCTACATTGAATGTGGCAATTTGGAGAAAAAATACGCAGTCTAACGTTTGCTGGGGTTTATGTATAAATTGCAAACAAATTAGTTCAAAATGACCCCTGTGTTTTGTGCTTAATTTCAATGCCAAAGGTGTATATGTAATGATATCTATAGTAAGTGAGGTATGGGGTAAAATTCTGCTTTCTATAAACTAAGATTCAGTTTATTGTTCCAGTCAGTATATTTCTAGCGCCTAACTGCGCACACATTGTAATCGTGTGGCGAGAAAGTGATGGCATGCAGACCCTCCACTCCACTGGGCAGGATTTCCCCCTCCGGTACCTTGAAGGTGAAGTTCTGAAGCAATGTGGTGAAAAAAATGAACGATTCTATTTCAGCCAGGCCCTTACCAAGACAAACACGAGGCCCTGAAATACAAATAAGCGATCACAATGAGAAAATGTACACTTAAATACATAGATTTATGGATCGGATTTAAGCAATTCTGATTTTCTTTACATAGACAAGGTTTAGTAGTTTATATAGACATAAATAAGTAATGATTTTACTAATGTGCCACTGCATGGTAACATGAAGGTCTAATATTAAGTAACGTACCTATGGAAAACGATATCATTTTGTCCGACTTGATCACTTTACCATCGCCATCAAGCCACCTTTCTGGTTTGAAGTTGTAAGGATCCTCGAAGTTATTCTTATCGTGAAGAACCCGGTACAAATCTCCCAGTATTATGGTGTCTTTGGGAATGGTGTAACCGGCCAAAATTGTAGTTTCGCTCGTTGCATGGGGAACACCAAAGGAAACTAATGATACGGAATAAATATGTTTTTTTAATAAATAAATTTTAAGTTGAGCAAGAGACAGAGATATAAGATTTTGATGGAATCGCTCGAAAATCTAGAAGGTTGCAAGTCTAGCTACAGTGGTACACGCAGCAGGCAGAATAATTACGAACTTTGCTTATAAAACTTAATCTGTTGTATCGAACTCCTCCTCAAGTCTTTCCTATTTCCACCTACAGATTATACCAGAAATTTTCTTGAAATCGCATTTTAAATCAAACATGCAACTTGCACTTTTTATTAAACAAGCACTGTTGTTTCTTCATTATTGTTAAATTAGTTTTTTATTATTATTATTTTGGAAATGGTTTTCACTGTTATAAACCAAATTAAATTTTTTCAAAAGTTAAAAAAATTACTTACGAATAGGAGACATGCGAAAGACCTCCAGCATGGTTGCTTCAGTGAATGGCATCCTGGCCTTGTCCTCCATCTTGGCAACACGACCTTGACCTATGACCTTAAATAAAGCACATATTGTATACAGACAGATGCACAACCAGCAAACGTATTGCATACAGAATAAAGAAATAAGAACACAAGATTATCTCAGATTGTCCCTCCTATTAATTTATACTGTGGGTCGTTACCTGATCAATTTCCTGCTGCATCTTCTTCTGTACATCCGGGTGATTTACCATATGAACCAGGGACCATCTCAAAGTATTAGCTGTTGTGTCGGTTCCAGCCAAATATAGATCAACAATGATTCGGAACACGTTCCTTTCTGAAATGTACGCCAATGAAGAAGTCAAAGTGATTGAAAATATTATGTATATTTCTCTTATAGTCGAAAAGGCACTCTGGATGCTACCATACATGAATTTTAGTTCCTGTGAAGTTTTCTTGAGTTGGTCTCTCATTGAGAGCTTCAACAAATTAAGCTTGGTTGTCACTTTGGAAACCTTTGGCAACTTCATATATCCAAGATGGCCGCCAAATTCCAAAGAAATATATACCCTTGCATATGAAAAAACCTTGAAAGCACCATTTCGGAAAACCATGCACTAAAAATGTCTAAAAGAATCTCATAACTAGTTGGAAACATTTAATGCAATTTAAAAATTTGAAATAGCTGGCAACTGTCAAAAAAATTCCAGCGTTTTAAAATTAAAGACAAATTAAGGTAAGGGCTGTTTGTTGACTGGCCATTTTTTTAAAATGTTAAACAAGTTAAACTAGTTACACACCTGTGTAAATCTCTGGATCTAGTTTCTCTTGAGTGACCTTTATATAGAGGTCAATAAAGTCCCGGATGTCAGTCGGATCAAAGGAATGACGGTGTCGTTCTACTTCCTGTCGTACCAAACAATAAAATGTGTCTTTGAGGACAAATTTCTTCTCCTAAAATAAGAGTTTATATAAATTTTGCATGACTCAAATCATATACTTTCATATGGTACTTACAAGTACTTTTGTTACACAAATGTTTTATAAGTATTGTCCATGTACACTGTAGGTAGGCTCTACTGCACTGTTAAGTGCATGTTCATGTGCACGTGTCCACACCGCTTCATTGTCAATTACAAATGGTACCGTATAACTTGATTTACTACAGGCTGGACCATTTTAACATGACAAAACAAGGTAAATGAATGAAATTAAGGTTAAAATTGAGGGTTAAAAGACAAACCATGCAAATAAAGGTGATAAAATCAACGTTTACCGGTATCAGGAAGCGGCCAAAGTTAGTGAGGGACAGAGGTCCTTGACCTATTCTCATGTATTCCTCCAACACTGACAGCATCTCGGGCATATCATTATAGTCATGTCTGAAATCGTTGAAAATAAAATGTACGTCGCTTTCTTTTTAAGAGAGGGCTCTAATTACCTACTGTTTTAGATAGCAAGTATTTTAGAATGCACTCTGTAAAATAATCTGTATGTGGATTTCATGTTTACGTCTGACAAACAATGCGTTTTTAAGGTCTGTTGTTGAACTTTTTTTCAAGTTGGCTTATTAAGTTGTTTTGCTTGAATATGCACGGCGTACCGGTGGTACCCCCGTACACATACTCCGTAGATGATTACTTTCGATAATGTGTTCTCCTCCGTTGTATGTGTGTTTGCTTGTCACCAGCCTAACTGAAAAGGTGAAGGATGGATTTTGGTTAAAGATTAGGGAACGCTCAAAAGTGGGCTGGTGCTCTGGATCCTCATCTAGATCAAGGAATTTTGAAGGATTTCTTTGCGAGATAGCAGGCCTTCCCAACTACCAGACTCGGCACCTACGGGTCCAGAATAAACCGGTATATCTGACCACACTACCCGTTTTCAAGGTGTGTGTCAGATCGCATAAAAGAGTATCATACCCTATCACAAATTCTGTAAGCCTACCTGTCATCCGGGTATCGCGCCTCGTTTTCGTCAAGTAGGAGTCGCATGAATATAACAGACGACTCCCTCAATCAGGGGGTGGAAACGCGCTACTTATATGATTAAGACGAGCCTAGCCGTCAGTACCGGTTA